ACTGTAAATCAGAAGGACACACAGCTACCCAAAACACCTGCCCGATCAAACAGTCACACATCCTTAAGCTCAACAAACATATTACCAAAGCCCAATTACCCAAACCAGCTACAATTCCCATATACAACTCCATCCCCGACTTCATCGACCTCGACTCAACATCTGACTCCCTGTCCAGTTCCCTCCCAGAAACCCTCCCCCCCCCCGCCCCGCCCCCAAGGGAGAAAACGTAAACAACTCTTTGGGAAATATAACCCCTCCCAAGCACCACCCCCCCTCTACTACCCACCCCCGCTCCCACATCCTCCTTCTCCCTACCCTCCTCCTCCCCCCCAACCATCCCCACACCCCTCCCACAGGCCCCAACCCCCAACAGCTCCCAAATTGGCTCTGTTACCCACCCTCCAACCCCACCTGCCCCCAGCCCCTCACCAATCCCCCTTCCTAATCCCTCCTGTTCAGCCCCCTACCCCCCCACCCCAACCCTCCCATCCCGGCCCTCCTCTTCTTTCAAACTGCCCCCCCCCCTCTGACCCAACCACACCCATACAGCCCCAACCAGACCTATCCCTTCCCAAACCCCTCCACCCAGCCAGATCAGCCATTCCAATTCCATCAAACCAACCCCAACACAAAAACAAACAAATCAACTACAGGATCAACACAACACGCAAACAACTACTCTCCCACAAACTCCAAACACTCAAAACAACCCCCCAAGTTATAGTCACACCCAAAAAGCTTCACTCAAATACACACAAAATCATCGAATTCATCTCAGCAGCCATTCTCCTTAGAAACCCCACCACCAAGAAACTCCACTCCCTAGCCCACCAAGCAAACATATACCAAAAAACCCTACAACAATTCCAGGCAGCCATAAGGACCCTTAAATGAAACCCTGTCTACACTATTCCAAATTAGCCCCGGAACACCATCCATTCAACTTCCCCTTCATTCTAAAACCAGCTAATGGTGTTCATCCAGTGGAACTGCAACGGGATCGCCACCAATGGGCATGAGCTTAAGGCCCTCATCGCCCTTCAAAAAATCTCTCCATTATTAATCGCAGCCCAAGAAACTAAATTATCCCCCAAAAAGACCTTCAAAATTCCAGGCTATGTTCTCATTCGGAAAGATAGACCCCGACCCACTAACTGCCCGGGACCACCACATGGTGGCCTGGGCATCTTTATCAAAAACCATCTTGATTATGACATAATAGATATTCCTACCCCAAATCTTGAATGCCTGGCCATCAAAACAACTATAAACCAAACTAAAATCAGTCTTATAAATGTCTATCATAGCAAAACAAAACCCTTCTCAGTTGAAGACCTTAATGTCTTAACCAAATTTATTGAACCAAACACCATCTTTCTAGGCGATTTCAATGCTCATCATCCACTGTGGGGCACAAAAAACTATACAGATAGATTCGGTAAACTAATTCAAGAATGGTCAGAATTAAACAACCTTATTTGCTTAAATGATAACCAACCCACTAGGTACCCCACAAGCCATCTCCAATCCCCCACAGCAATCGACCTTACCTTCACTACCCCCCATCTCCATCCTAAACTCTGCTGGGAGGCCCATTCGGACACTTGGGGCAGTGATCACACGCCCATCAAAATTTCTTTATCCCTACCCACCCCAATCCCACCCCTATCCCAATCCCAACCTGCCACCCCATTAGACAACACCCCCCAGCAACCCAAATTCAATCTCAAAAAGGCTGACTGGAAAACATTCCACCCACTCTGCAATCAAATAAACACACATCATATACACAACATTGACAACGACATTTTCAATACAAACTTTACAAATACAATTCACAATATAGCCCTCCAATGCATCCCAACAGTCAAAATCTCACCACACCATATCACTGTCCCCTGGTGGAGCTCAGAAATAGAAAACTCCAGAAAACTTAGGAAAAAGGCACTAAATAAAGCCAAGCGGGACATAACCAAACTCCCCTTGGCAAAACATCTCAGAAATTCAACTAAACAACTTATAAGAGCAGCCAAAAGAAAACATTGGCAAACATTTACCAGCTCCTTGAAAATGGGGAAACAAAATACCAAAATTCTATGGAAAAAACTTAAAGCCATAAAGGGCACTTCAAAAACCTTCTCAGCCCCATCTTTTCCTAACCTAAATACAGACAGAGAAAAGGCTAACGCCATGGCTGCTCACTTTTCGGCCACTAGCAGCTCCGCCAACCACACCCCCATCATGCAAGACACTATTAAAAACCACCCCACCTATTCTCACAGACCACCTCTCACAAGCATGTCATACAATAAAACAATAAACATCTATGAACTACAAACAGCCATCAATAACAAAAATACAGCCCCAGCCACAGGCCCAGACAACATTAGCTACACTATCCTTAACCACCTTCCCCCTAAAATTCAAAAACTCCTTCTCCAATTATTTAACCAAATTTGGATTTCTGGCTCCCTCCCCCATTCTTGGAAAACAGCCCTAGTAGTACCGGTTCTCAAACCAGGCAAGCCCCCCAAAGAACCGGATTCCTACCGCCCTATCTCATTAACTTCCCATATTTGCAAAATAATGAAATCCGTCATAAACAATAGACTAAAATTCCAAATTTCATCCCAAAAATTACTTAATGAGGACCAGAGTGGTTTTATGTCTAATCGACAAACTTTAGACCACGTTTTACATCTAGAACATGACGTTAAAACAGCACTCGCCCAAAAACAATATACTGTGGCCATTTTCATCGACTTTAGTAAAGCATTTGATATGGTTTGGCATCATGGCCTAATCCAAAAACTTAAAGCAAAAGCCATAGATGGTAGAATTCTAAATTTCATACACTCTTTTCTAACAGACAGAAACATCACAGTTAAAACCAACAACACCCTATCTGACCCCCATCCTTTAGACAACGGCACCCCACAGGGTAGTATAATCTCTCCAACACTTTTCAATTTTATGATTGACGACATTTTTCCATCTAAAATTAAAAAAACAACTACTGCAAAATTCGCAGATGACATTTCCTTCTGGACGTCGTCAACATCTCTAAAACAGATCCAAAAAAGAATTCAACCCCTCCTGAAACACATAGAACTTTGGGCAACCCAGTGGGGATTCCAAATCAACACTAATAAAACCATCGGCTTACTCTTCAAAAATAGACACATGCCAAATTGTACACCCAAACTCACCCTTAATGATCAGACCATTTCATTCAAAAAGGAAGCTAAATTTCTGGGAATTACTTTTGACCAGCACCTAACATGGGCTCCCCATATTCATAATTTGGTCACATCATGTCAAAAAGACTTAAATCTAATGAGAGCCATCAGCGGCACTGATTGGGGCGCTGACAAACAAACATTACTGAATATATACAAGTCACTAATTCAATCTAAGATTGACTATGCTGCTCCAGTCCTCAACTCCATATCAGAAACACTCAATAACAAACTAAACTCCATACAATATAGAGCCCTAAAGATAGCCCTGGGTACCAGAACCGGTACAGCCCTAAATACCCTCCAGCTATTATCAGGAACCACCTCCATCCAACTCCGCTGCAATCAAACCACTCTCAACTACTGGGCTGGGGCCCAACAAAACCCTATCCTAAAACAAATCATCACTAAATACAACACCCTTAGACCTGCAACCTTAAAGAAATTCAAAAACAATCACACACTAGCCCCCTATCTCACACATCTCTATAAACTCTTAAAAACATATAAGTTAGAAAACATCAAACACATAGACCCCCCAAACATATTCATAAATGACAAACCCCCCCCTGAAACAGACCTCTCACTCCACAAAACATTCATCTCACATCCTGACCCCAAAAACCTTGACAAAAAAGAAATATCTAATAACTACATACACCAAAACTGGCCCAACCACACCCATATCTATACCGATGCATCACAGACTAATAATGACATAACAGGACTAGGCATACAGATTACACAACCTATACCAATCACCACAAACTTCCACTATACCAACTACACACATATCACCACAGCTGAACTACTGGCTATACAATGTGCATATCACTACATAAAAATATCTACTGACACTAACTTCCTTATAATTTCAGACTCATTAGGTGCATTAACCCAAATTCATAATAAACAATCTAAATCAAGGCAAGACATAATAAACAATATCATAGACATCCACACAAAACTCATAGAATCCAACAAAACAATAACTCTCCTATGGGCACCTGCACACACTGGCATAACAGGCAACCAATTAGCAGACACAGCGGCAAAACTAGCCACCACCCAACCATCACCAAGTATTGACTTCACCACCAGTAAAGCCGAGATAAAATCACTAATCAAAAGAAACACATTATCTCAAAATTTCAAAACAAATATTCAAAATTGTAAGTCAATCTTGACAAAATCCCTTTTCAATAAGCCAGTCACAAAGTGTCGGAACTTCACAAAGTCCATTTTAGCAGATAAAATCATTAATAGAATGTTAAGCGGCCAAACTAATTTGAACGAAACACTCCACAAACAAAACAGACACCCACATCCAAACTGCATACACTGCAACACACCTGAAACACTAGACCATATATTCAACCACTGCTCACAATATAAACAACAACAAACACAACTATACAACTCTCTTCCCCCACAGCTCAAAAACAACATCCAACTGCTCCTAGACCCCTTCAACCATACCGCTAAATTTACCCATATAGCCACATTCCTTAAAACAACAAATCTAATAAGCAAACTTTAGAAAAATCCCAACAAATTACAGCATAAACACTATATCTAAAATCCACACATTTACAATTTAGGATCGGGATCCAAATTCTCAGCGCGGACTGACTTCTCCGACGTCCGCGTGACAAATTCGCCCATATCCATACTATAATAAACATGACCGTTTAACCAGCCACCAACCCAAGCTCAGCTCCCACGCGCACGGCCAATAGGGCCCGTAAGTCTCGCGAAGCGCTACTTCCGGTGCCAGCATTTCCGGTGACATGCCTATACTCGTGAACTAGTTCTGCTTTCGAAATGCGCGACCGCAAAAGCTAACTCTGTAGACGGTACCAAGTAAACTACCACGCTTGGTTGTCACCGCTGTTGACAGTCGTAAAAGTTTACTTATTTCAGAATAATATGATCGGTTATTTGTCATTCCTGTTAGGTTTATCGGTTCCTGACTGACATCTGACAACCATGGGACCGTTCGTAAAGGTATGTGTTCTTTCCTTTACCTTTAAAATAATTTTGACAACCAGTGTGGTACTATCGTTCAGACTTGTATTTATAGTCTCAGCGGACAGTGTTTTATGATTACTGAGGATGTGTTACATGTTTCTGTGATGTAATATTATTTATGAAGATGTAACTACTAATAGGTAGGCCACTTTACCCAACTTACAACGGTATTCTGATATCTGACAGCATGAGCAGTGTCAAGGAAGCCGTGCCTTGACAGTTTGAATAGGCATTAAATTAGGCAAGATTTGGAGGATGAAATTTGGAAAATCTATGCTATGAATATATTTGTAAACGTGAAATTTATTTTAGTATATTGTATTAATTTATTTTGTTATTAATAATAGTACTCAATAACCCAGTCATGTGTTTGGAACTTAAAATTTAATATGCACTATATTTGGTCATATTAATATAGTAAATAATTTTCCATTAAGAAATTTGTTACTTTTGAGAAGAAACTTATTTTTAAATATTTTTTTATGAAGGAGACAAGAGGGTTTTTATGCAATGTAGAAAGCCTGTTCATAAATTAGTTTGTATATTAAATGTGAATAGATATAATAATGCAGATGTACTACTACTTGCTCTTTGGTAGTTTGCACTATAAGTTAACTCTCATCTACATGTACTGGATGACTGTATGGAAGTGCGGATGTCAGAAATTAACAAGAAAGACTCAAAAGACCCCCAAAAAGAAAAGAAAAGAAAAGATAATAATTAAAAAAATGTGTTTTTTTTAAATAATTAAAAGTTGAGAGAAAATGAATGATCTCCTCTACTTTGGATGAATGACAGTCATTACTGCATGCCAAATAGATTTTCTTAGCCCTGCCTGTAAATATTGATCCCAAAAATTATTATCCAAATTAAATTAAATAAAGTTCTTCTCATCAACATGCACCAAAAAAGAATGTATGGGAAAATAAACATAAAAACTAATAGTGTCACAAATCACTCAACAGTTAATCAAATAATCAAATAACCATGAAGGCAAGTCAATACATTATATTGATTACTATAATCTAGTATTTGAAATAAATATATCAAACCCTAACCTGTAAAATACACATGACCCTTAATTTTGAATTACATTTGAATATGCATTATCATGGTTATAATAAAAGTATGTAAGTCAAATTGTTTTATTTTACTCACATATTTCAATGAAAGACCTCTTAGTCTCAGGTGGTTTCAGGTTTGTGCAACAAGTACAAGTAAATACTGTTAGTATTCCATATGAATATTCATAGTGATATACCTATTTTTCAAATTGTGTAAACATTATTTGTTAAGTCCGGTGATGAATAGAACTGGTGTTGGACAATGGTAATTATACACTGTGTATGTACTTGATGTCTAGCTCTATGTTGTTGCAGAACATGAATGGGTTTTTTCTTGGTCATACAGGAGTGAATTTCTGCTGTACAGCAACCAAAAGATGAAGCAGCATCCAGCACACAGCAACTTCAAGTCAGAAGTGGCCAAAATGCAAGACAAATACACTGAATTATGGAGGCGATCACCAATGACATGTCCTACATTAAGAAAGATACTTACTAATATATGAAGTGTAATGTTATTCTGAGGGAAGAAATAAAAGTGTTACACCTTGTCAGCAATATAATTGTTTTGACACTGCAGACTTTGATTGATAGCAGGGGCAAGATTAAAAGATTAATTGTGATGAACGGTAGGGTTTTTTAAATTAATATTTCTGGTTGTGAGGCTCAATTGAACCAAGTAAAAAAATTGCTACAAGTCCAAAACATTAATTCATTCACCTTATCACTCAATCAACACTGTGGAACACAAATTTAGTGCAACCATATTGACTTGATGCAGAGATAGAAACAATTGCACCTATTTTTCATATATTTGTGTATTTCAAATATTCTGCCAAAAAATCCAAGTCAAACAAATGAGGTAACTGACATTTCACATTTTCCGCTATCCATTTGGACCAATCTGTTTTAAGATCTGGTCAAGAAATGTCAATGTTTATTGGCTATTGTTCTATGAATCAGTGTAATTTGTATGCTGGACCCTAAAACAGCGATGCAAAAAACAAGACATGTTGATATTTCAACGAAGAATTAATTTCACAAAGCAACAACTGCTATGCCATTGGTTAAGTTAAATTTTCATTGGTAAGCATCTGTTGTATTCTTTTGGAAACTTTTGACCCATAAACTGGAAATCTATTATCACACATTCCATGTGCATTGTTATGATATTATATTCAATACCAATTCAGTATCATGGCTGATACCAGAAATATTAAAAAACCTTTTTTGTATGGCATTATCCCAGACAAAAAACAATAAATAAGCTTCAGATCTATTCAGTAATTTTATTCCAAGGTCATGAGTATTAAACATTCATGGCAAATATTCCAAAATGCCAAGCCTGAACAAATAAATGTGCCAGCATGCACTGTTTCTGGTGTCAGTATCTAGATTCACACTGGACTTTATGAGAGAGTCCCAAGATGTTCTGCAACACCATGTTGATGACAAGTAGGTCCTGTTCCAGCAAGTGTCCAGTGTATATGGTGTATTCTGATGGTCACAGACATCATTTACAGAACCAGTACTTCAGATAGAACTTTAATATGTTTACACCTGTATACACAACAAGAGTTGTTCTTTCATAGGCAATGCAATGCTTGACCACAAAATATTCCAAGAAATATGTTATAGTCCGAGATGCTCTTGAGGTGCAGTTATGTTTGGCATCAAGGTAATTCTGGTGATCCATATGCATCTACTCGTGAGTCAGATGAGGAAATCTTTCTCCCCTCAAACATGGAAATATGGCCCAACTGCAAAAGATAAATAACACTTATGAGATCATATAATATATACTTCTAAAATACCAACCATTTCTTACAATGCCCACATCAAGATATAATTAATAAATTAAGCATGTACATAGTACCTTCAGTAGTATAGGTAATGGGGGTTCTGGACCACTTCCACTGGAGCCAGATTCATATACCTATACTGCTACTACAGGGGGGGATTTTTTATGTCAAAATGATTATGTGATTTAACGATAGTCATGAGTTGTATTAAACGAAATATCAATATTAATTAATAATGGATAAAATTTACTATAGCCCACGAGGATATTGGAAAGGTGTAGGAGCAATAAAAAAATTAGCCACCACGGCTAAGGTATCTAAAGATGTGGCAAAGGATTGGTTAAAGAAACAAGCGATGTGGCAGATATATTTACCGGCACCGCGTTATATACCGAGGAAGAAGTTTGATATTTTTACGACGAATCAAGTTCATCAGGCTGACCTCTTGTTTCTTCCCCACGATAAGGTAAAACGCAAAACGTACAAATACGCTTTAACGGTAGTGGATGTGGCTAGTCGATACAAAGAGGCTGAGCCATTAACATCGAAAGAATCAACAGAGGTAGCTAATGCACTGAGTCGCATATATAAACGCGGACCGCTAAAATGGCCTAAGCTATTTCAAGTAGATCCCGGTCGCGAGTTTATGGGATCGGTAACTAAACTGTTAACAAAGAACGATGTCGAAATCGTCCGTGGTGAAAGAGAGGCCCACTGCAGTCAAGCTATCGTCGAAAGATTTAACAGGACATTAGCGGAACGTTTGTTTGGCTATCAGTATGGGATCGAAATGAAATCCGAGCGATTGAGATCAACCGAATGGGTGACACGATTATCAGCCGTTGTATCAGCGCTGAATAATGAAGTAACGAGATTAATAGGGAAGAAACCATCCCATGCTATTAAAATGAAATCCGTGACTTCCGAATCTTCAGCACCGAGGAGAGGCAAAGAACGAAAACTTCCGGATAGAGTAAGGGTAAGATATTTATACCAGGCCGGTGAACTCGAAGGAGGCCTACGTCGCGCAACCGATCCCATATGGTCCCTTAAGACGTATAACATTAGTCGATTGGTTACGAAAGAAGGAGAGCCTATTCTTTATTATCTTCAAGATGGACCGGGTAGGGCATTTGTACGAGAAGAGTTGTTCATAGTTCCCGACGGTACGGTATTACCACCATAACCATAAGCATAGGTATTTACACCATCATTATCAATCCATCTCTTTGTATCTAAGGGGGATAATGATGTCTTGTTCATTCTTAATCCATATATCCTATGATCGTAACTTCTTAAAGAGTTCATCTCGTGTTTGAACGTTCTACCGTTAAATAATGATTCTTTATACTGTTCGTGTTTGATATGCTTTTTTACAACATACTTCTTAACGCCCTTTGCTTTTCTTATCTCTCCATTATCGGACTTCTTTATAGAATACATCTTAGGTCTTAATCCCACATACTCCGCTATAGGGGTCCCAGCACATTCATCCTTCATCTTACCTAACACCTTTTTATTTACTACGCTGTGCAGTGGATTATCTTTTGGGTAATCGCTCGTGTCGTACATATCTATTTTTTCTGCCATATCTTTATACACATCCTCGGTTTGTATTTCCATCAACAAAGAATCTGTGTCGGTATATAACACCTCGCATCTATCACCGTATTGCTTCTTAAGTTCGTTGTAATAAAAGTCATACATTAAGTGTTTTGACAAGTCGAGAATACTCATACCGACGTACACCGGTCTGTTGAACTTTATATTACTCTTCTGCATATGCAACGCGGCTAAGTCGTTATCAAATATCTTGCTTCTGTTAAAAGCCGGACTGGCTATAAGTTTCCTGAGTCTTTCTTCCTCATTAGATCTGACTAATTTAACATCAACACGCTTCCTTAGATTCTCCATGGTTTTACCAAATACCGAGTTATTCATGAGCTTATATAGATTCTTTTTGAAATCGCTGGTAGCTATCTTTCTTAAATCTGAGTTCAACCTTATATAGGGCTCCATCCAAGGGCTTTGATCGAACTTTAGAACTCTGTGTATTTTCTTAAGTTTCATACCTAACGATAGATACAACTGGAGATTTCTGTAGTGAACTATATATTTTGTCTTATCCATCAAATTTGGTACGAGTTTTTCTACGTTAGCTAACCTACTATTACCCATCAAGGAGCGTTGATATTCCGACATCCAATCTTTATTAACCATTAATCTTTCGGGAGCTAGCGGATAACTGTTATGATCTTTATGTAACGAACTTGGATATTCCAAGTCAACTTCTAGTATGTACCCTTTATTCACTTCGATATTATGGATATCATTCACATTGATATCATTGACCCATTCAAAACCACCCGTGGGTAAAGGTTGACTCATAGCCCATCCGTACAAATTGTTAGCGTCGAGATATAATATGTGGGTGTCGGGTTTACTGGGATCGTATCCTTCCACTAATTTATTATTAGCCTTAGAATACCTTTTAGCTGCCATCGATATACCACCTCTTAATCCTTTCTCAATAAACAAGTGCATATCGTAATCTGTGAGTAGTTTTAGTTCTACGCCGGTCTTCTTCAACAATGCATCCCACGATAGTCCGGGACTGGAATAGTACCATGCCGGGTCCAAGCCATATTGTTTGAAACATGTCTTTCTAAATATCTCGAATATATCGGCGAGTAACAGTACATCTGTTTTCAAGTACAGATCGTGATAATCGCCTAAATTCTTACAACCTAATTTATCCCAGACCGTCAGAGCGTGTTCATAATCGGCATCTGTTATTCTAGATTCTGTTAAGTTACTATAGAATGATTCGAGGGGTGGTAATTCAGTTTATTCGAATCTAGACCAATCATCCATATATTCGTAAGGATATACACCTTTTCTCAGCAACAAATGACGTGTTATCTTATCGGTATATTTATTTGTTATCGCAAAGTCATCGGGATTGTTCGCATTAGCTAAATTGTCCAGGGAAGATAACAGAAACTGTACGGAGTCTATGAATCTAAGCCCATTACTTTGCTTTGTTCTAGATTTCCCATCCTTGTCCCTATAATGTATAGGTTTAGTCAACGAGAACGATATGTATTTTTCCATATTATTAGGAATGCACGTTAAACCGCCGTCGGTCTTCGAGATAGCTTGCATAATGAGATGTGAATCGTATCCCCTAAGGTTGTGAAACACAACGGGGATGGGTATTGTTTGAGAGTTCATTTTTAGTTTCAAGTTACACTCGTTATGAGCGGCTCCCCGATAATTACCCGTGACGTGACAATGATCTCTTACGGAATCCCCATCCAGGGGTTTATTACAAACGTGACAACTCGTTGACTTCTTATGGGCCCTCCAATCATCCCTCGTCATACGCATGGGTATCTTACACGATAATTTTTCCCTGATTATTCTCTCTTCATTTTGTAGATATTCTAGGAACTTTCCCGCTGCATCGGGACCTCTGTAAATCACGGGAGGGTTTGTTTTCCCATCATACCTTACAACTATATATCCAAACCCACAAGGAATATGTTCTTGAGTTTTGTACGTAAAACTACTATCAGTATTGCTACGGTTGGTATTTTCTATGGGTTTGATAAGCGCTTCGAAATCGGCGTAAATTACGTACGGTACTGGCATTTGATTACAATAATGTTCAAATTTTAATATATTTTTTCCCTCTTTAGGCATATCGATCCTGATAGCATTCTGTCCAACACCTCTACAGTCTTCTTTATGCGCTTCTAATAGATCTTGTCTGCTGTACCCATGCAGGCATCTTTCGCAGAAATATTTCTTTTCTTTATGTTTTGTTTGATCGTATAGCAGCCTGTTTAAACTCTTTATCCACGTATAATGATATTTACCATCTTTTTCGATCAGAAATGAATTGATTCTGGGGATATTTTCCGGAGAGGAGCTTATCCTGTGTACAACAATTCCTTTAGAATGTCCGAAAACATTTATAGCTAAATTATTTTGCTTTTCTACCTTATCAATTTGTGATATTGGTGTAGGTTCGTCTATACCATCGAAGTTGAGTCCATCGTTTTGGGGATAGCTAGAAGGTCTATCCGGATGCTTGTCTACGGGGAACAATGCAGATCTTATCATCATTCTTAAACAGTCATCGGATTTATTTTTTACGTTAATTATGGCTTTTTTCTTCTTATAATACGGGGGTAAATCTATATAAGATCCACCTTTGAAGGGCATATAATTCGCTATATCTAAATATAAACTATCGATTTTATCCACACCCCAACCCGAACCTCTATTAGTCCAGCGTTCTAAAGTTTCCTGTATTCTCTGAATTGATGTATCTAATGATGAGTTTATAGTATCGGATTCGGTTATAACTTCTTGATTGCTACGGAAATATGGTTCGGTATATTCGGTGCTATCGTCTGTGTTACTTTTACTCAATGTCATTTTAATCGTCAGCTGGTATTTTATACTATGTAAGTCATCTAATTCCTCGTTAATTTTACTCGATATGATGGGCTTAATATCGTTAACATCTATGTTGGAATTAATATCCATCTTCCAACCTCTTAGATATTTACCAACGCCGGCGGATGTGGGTACAAATATTAATTCTTGTTGTTGTTGAATATCATCAACATTATTATGTTGAATATCATCATTATCATCATTATCATTATCAACATTATCAATAGGTTGATTATTATCTAGTAAAGCGATCAATTCAGCTCTTCTCATTCGAGAATAACCTCTCAGCCCACCGTTTCTCGCTCGAGCTTTGAGTTCTCTAACAGTATCTGGTTTGTTGTATTCCAAACCGAGTAAATCCATCAATTCAGCTTTTCTCATTCGAGAATATCCACGCAGTCCACTTTGCTTTGCCATAGCTTTTAATTCTCTGACAAAAACCATTGTGGTTGAATGGTATATACAAAATGATTCATTTGTCTAAATGGTTG